ATGAATCTTGACCCAAAGTGGAAACAAAGGTCCCTAAAGTAAAAGAAATGTCTGCCTTGTCTCTGCCGTGTGTACAGTGCTGGGGAAGGAACGGGGCATGGACCGTATTTTTACAGGGAGAGTTCTAGCCCTCTCCCAAAGCCGGTGGGAACTGGCCGAGGCAGTGGTGTCACCATTCTTCTGAGCCGCTCTGGCTCCTGCACATGCCGGAATCCTCTGGGAATTCCTGTCCAAAGCAGCGAGGTTCACTGGGCTGTTTGTGATGCTCGCCAGTGGACACTTGGACTATATAATATATTGAGTGAATACAGAATTCCTGTTTTATGGGGATATGTCTGAGTGGGAGTTGGAGGTGTATAGAGAGTATGGGTTGCCCTCAGGGACCCAAGATTCGGGTGGGGCAGGGCAGGGCAGGGCGGGTCGGGTCAAGGTAGAGTGGGCAGAGCAGGGCAGGGCAGGGCAGGGATGCAGATGTAGGTCTGCAGTGGCAGGATGGGGGAAACACTAGGTGCTGTGAGGGCGCCTGAGGTGGAAGCCAGGGTTCCTGGAGGAAGAGGCTTCAGGATGAGGCCGAAGGAAGCATGCAATCAGAGGAAAGGATGGTCTTCAGGTAGAAGGAACAGCGTGTGTTTCCGGAGCTGAGAAGGGACAGGACTCCCAGGGCTCAACCCAGGAGGGAACTGCAGAGTGTGGTTGCTATGGGGAAGGGGGAACCAGAAGCCTGAGGAAAGAAGAACTTTCCAAACAGACCCGGGTTTTAATTTGGGGGCAATGAAGAGTTGTTTAAGCAGAGTGAGCTGGTCAAAGCTGGATTTTGGCATGCTTATTCTAATTTATCACCTATTGATTACACCCAAGGCCACAAGCCCCATATCAAAAGCATTAGGTTACTCTACACATGACATGGTAAGCTCCACTTCTCCATCCCACCCATCTCTCCCACCTAGCCACTGCTGAAAAAACCATTCTCCCTCTGCTCTCCCTTCCTCCTTGGATTCCCCTTCTCTCTCTCTCTCTCGTTTGTTTGGTGTGGGGGTACATGCATGCCATGTCACACATCCGAAGGCAAGAAGACAACTTCCAGTAGTTGTTTCTCTCCTGCTTGGTAAACCTGCTGAGCCATCTCCTCAGACCTCTTTTTTTTGTTTGTTTGTTTCTTTTTCAAGACAGGGTTTCTCTGTGTAGCCCTGGCTGTCCTGGAACTCGCTCTGTAGACCAGGCTGGCCTCAAACTCACAGAGATCCAACTGCCTCTGCCTCCCAAGTCCTGGGATTAAAGGTGTGACTCACCACTGCCCAGCCTCCTCAGACCTCTTTGAACAGCTTTTCCCTCTTGGTTCCCTTCCTGATTACTATCAAACTGTAGCTGGCGGGCAAGCAATGTTCAACCCAGTCGTCTTGGATTGAACTCCCAGTGCAAGCCTTGCTTTCCCTAGTCTTTGCTCCTGCGGGAGGGAAACCACCGGAGCCAGGCTGAGATGTGGCAGTGAGGTCAGGGACCTGCATCAGACAGCCCATCATCAAGCCCCAGACAGAGATGGCACGGATGTGGCAGGTGAACCTCCACTCCCCTTCCTAGGGCCTTGGCAGACATTACTAATCAATTGCATCACTTTCACAGTGAGTCAATCCAGAGCTGCAGACAACCACAAAAGTTGACTTGCCGTTCTTGACCCAGACACTATCCAAAAAGTCAGGGTGACTCTGACTCAGAAGGCAAGCTAAAGGGTCGCGGTCAGAACACATGCAAGGGGTTTCAAAATTGGTAAGGTAAAGGACAGGACACGGCATGGCCAAGCTGGCAAGGGAAGTGGTGACTCACGTTCCTCAGAACTCTAGTTTGCAGCCGGCTTTCTCTAAATACCCTGACTCTTGAGGTTAAATGACTCACTTCCATACCACAGATGAGGAGACAGAGAAAGGGGTGCACCTGGTGCCACCCAGTGTTCTGATCCACGTGGCACACACTTTCTCTGAGCCTCGGCATAGGTAGCTCAAGACTCAGAGTCAGCTTCTCTTCTTCTTATTCTCCTCCTCCTCCTCCTCCTTCTTCTCTTTTAACTTGTTTATTATTCTTTTATGTACATTGGTGTTTTGCCTGCACGTATGTCTGTGTGAGGACGTCAGATTTTGGAGTTACAGACAGTTGTGAGCTGCCATGTGGTTGCTGGGAATTGAACCCTGGTCCTCTGGAAGAACAGCTAGTGCTTTTAACCACTGAGCCATCTCTCCAGCCCCATCAGCTTCTCTTCTGAAACTCACGAGGAGGGATGGCAGGCAGAGCCTGTGGCCTGCTCCTGGTGATCTAACCACTGCCTGGGACGAAAGCTCAGGGAGCATTTGTGGGCAGGAGACACTCTGAAGGGCACAAATATTACTACTTCAATGCAGTTCAAGCTACCAGCAAATGTCGCAGGACACAGATGGAGAACAGGTGCCCGTGGCCACCTCTGGGTTAGGAGCGGGCTCTACCTCACACACATTGGTACTCCCACTTGGTGGTTATTTTGCGAGGTTCTGAAAATTAGGAACTGGGTACAGCTGGAGGGGGTAGCTCACTGGGGCATGTCTTTGGAGGTTATACCTGGCTTGAGTGCCCTCTCTCAATCTCTCTGTTTCTGTCTCTTCCTCCCCCACTCCTTTGCTCCCCCCCCCCCTCCAGCTGAGGACCGAACCCAGGGCCTCGCACTTGCTAGTCAAGCACTCTACCACTGAGCTAAACCCCCAACCCACCTCCCTTGCTCCCTCTTGTCTGCTGTAAGACAAAGAACTTCCCGTGCCACATGGCTCTGCTACCATGTTCTAGTGCCACATGGCTCTGCTACCATGTTCTACTCAGGCATACAGGGCCCAGTTGCCATAGGCTAAATAAAGCCTCTGAAAATGTGAACAAAAGAAATCTTCCCTCTTCCAAGTTATTTCTGAAGGTCATTTGGTCACAGTGGTGAGAAAAGAAACCCTAGTACAGGATTCACGTTGAGTCCGTCCATCCTGACCTGGTGTCCGGTTCTCCCTCATGCTCTGAGCCGCTCAGGAGGCTCTCTTGCCTGGTTGGCCTTCGTTTCTATTGCTTGAAAGGAAAGGACCCAAGAATGCCACTGGCACACTGGCTGTGGGAGGGTGCAGGTCAGAATCTGTTTGACTTCCAGCTTCTTGGTTTTTCCTCTGCACCCCAAGGCTCACGCATGAAGCCAAGAAGCCTAGTGGTAAGAAAGAGCCTCTGAAAATGCAAAGGTGGGAGTTCCTCTTTGAAAGACCCCTACTGGTAGCCCCCTTTTTCTGCTCCCCTTGTAGTATGCCAGGGCCTTTCCTCTCTGAGGGAGCCCCACAGCCAGGGCCAGGCAGATGGTGCCTTCCAGGAGGAATGGCTGCCCACAAGAGGCTAGGCTATCCCTGGTAGGCTGTGGAGTGTGTTTGGCAGGCATCTGCTCTTTATCAGTGTCTAGATCCCATTCTGCATCACAATCTGGGTCAGAGAATGTGCAGGTGGCTGCCATCATCACATGGGTGTGCAGGCATGGCCCAGGGAGTGAAGCTCGTCTTGGGAGCTTGTGTTCACATCTGCCCACCTCAGCGGCCCTGCCAGAACAGCGATTGCTCTGCACTCCTGCCCAGAAGCCCTTTGAAGAGTTGAGCAGTAACATTCTTGGAGTCATTAGCTAAGAAAATTGGTCTTGAGCCTATAGCCATGAAGAACAGCAGCTGCCACCTAGTGTCTGAACAGAGTCATCACTCCAACTTGAGTGGTGGGAATCAGGGCAGTTGGTTAGGACTGGCTCCCTAAGGGCTGGACATGGGGAGGGGGGGTGCGCGGGGGAGCTGAAGACTATCGAAGATAGATGGGTTCCCGCCATCATGATTCAGAAAGTCATCCCATGTGGCCAGAAATGTTGGCTACTCAAGAGAAACTCAATGTTTTAAGTGCTGTTGGTTCTACTGTTTTTTAAACACCTCAGGGCTGAGGATGTGGCTCAGTGGTAGAGCACTCGCCTAGCATACACAAGGCTCTGGGTTCCATCCACCACACTGGAAAGCAAACAAACACATCAACACACGTCAGGCAGTCTCTGCCCGCCCGTAATTCAAATCCCTTTAAAGCCACGGAAGTTTCTCACTTGCCTCTGGCTTTTCCTAAAGTCCCCTCCAGCAGCTCTGGCCACCACAGCAGCTCCATGTGAGAACTAACTTCTGCCTGCTGCTCCTGTCCTGATTTTGCTTAAGTTCCCATCTCCCTCTTTCCTGTGCCCGTGCACCTTACCCTGGCTGCGGTGACCACCTAGCGTGCCGGCTGCCCTCATTTGCGGTGTTTCAGAGTTCCCACACCCGAGCTCTCCTGACAGCTCCTCCCTGCTCTACCTTACCAGTAACTGATTACAGCCAAGCCTCTCGTCACCCCAGCCCACCCCCTCCAGTGTCCAGAGCTCACCAGGACCTGAAGTCTGGAGGTCTGACCACCTGTTCCCAGCACACACACACACACACACACACACACACACACACACACACACACACACCCCGCTTCATTCCCTGGTCCCGTAATACCACCCTGCAGCCACCTCAGCTCCCACTGGAGTGGGGCTTAACTGTCCCTTGCCTGAAGACTGCATCCAGCTGGCCTCCCGGGTGCAATGATACTCATGCCACTAGCCTCAAGTGGAAACCGGAGCTCCTCAGATGCCTTAGCTATGCCCTTGGGCAGCTTGGACACTCGGGGAGATCGCTCATTCGTCCTTCTCCAAGGCCAGCCCCCACCCAGAGTTTAAACAGCAATACTGGCCAGACACGCCCACAGCATCCCCAGACCTGTATCCAGATGCTGCCACCTCCATCTCCAAGGATAGGCTCCCTGCTCCATTCTAGTCTCCAGAGCATCCAGATCCACCATTTGCCAGAGGCTGGGGCTGGGATGTAGCTCAGTGATCAATGCTTGCTAAGCATGCATAATGCCCCGGGTCCTATCCCCAGCACCATAAAGCAAACAACAAAATCTGGAAGGCAGAACACTCGTCCATCTTTCTTTTATTTCATGTAAAAGCCCAACTGCCCCCTGGCCTAGAAGGCACCAAACCCAGCCTTAGTCACCTCTGGCTCGCTCTGTCCCAACCCTCACAGGACCCTGGCTCCCGGACCCCACTCTCTTGCCGCTCCCTTGGGGACTTGCTGCTCTGCCTCTCTGTCACCTCCTCCAGTCATTCTCAAGGTCTTCTAAAGGATACTCTCGGCCACTCTGTTTAAGACTGTGGTGATGATACCTGCCCAGTGTGAGAAATGCATTAATGCCACCAAGCTGAGCACCCAAAACAGATAAAGGGGCAGCACGCTTTAACCTCCAAAGCAAACCAAGGTATTACCTGCTGAACACCTAACTCATCACACTTAAGCTGTTTCCAGGGAAATGAACTGGGACCACGGGTAGGGGCGGGGTCAGTACAAATTCCAGGGTGGCCTCTGCCACCTCCCACCATTAGCAGCTCAAACGCCATGAATGATTTGAAAGTCGACCCTGAACACAAATTATGCTCTGAACACAGACACTGAGAACTCTGCTGGCCTCTGGGTCCTCTGGGTCAGTCTGTCAGGGACAAGAACGAACAAGGGGAGATGTGTGTGTGCAACATGCACTCCCCATCAGCCAGCATGGTGTCTGGAGTCACCCCTGAGCTCAGTTCTCTCATTCACAATGGGAAAGAGAATGAGAATTCACACGTGAGGCAAATACATAGTGTTCAGTGCAGAGTTCCGAGGTCTTCCAAGAAGGCTGACTTGCACTCATTTCTAGTGTCTTTGCTTAGGCAGAAGTAGCAGAGTCCGGGCCCAGGAATCCATCTACCCTGCTACCCCACGAGATGTGCATTTTCCAGATGTGCCTGCAGGGGGCCCCACCGCTGCAGTCCTGAACAACCTATACCCAAGTCAGGCTGTTTGCCAAACACGACCCTTGAGCAGTTGGAGACTAGTGTTACTTTGTAGATGAAGGGGATCCCTCCAAACACAAAGGTAGCCTCCACCTCTCCTGGGATCTGATCCCACGGTGTGCAGCCCAGCACCCACGGCATTTGTTAGCCTAGAATCCCTCCTCAATGGGTCTGCACAAGCTCATGGATGGGGACACAGCATATGGGTGCAGTAAGCATCCAGGAGCTCAGGGCTAGTCATCCGCATACACAGGCCGCCGGCATCTCAGAGTCTCCAGGAGGAAGGTGGGGAGCTAGAAGATGCTTGAGTGCATCACTGGACACCTGCCCCCCCCCACTCTGGATACCTGTGCTATAGCTCCCCTCACAGGCAGCTACCTTCGCTGACCACCATTTCCCAAAGCCAGGCATCCTCAGTGTCGCTTCCTGTCCCCGCCCTTAGCCATGTTACCTGTGAACTAAGAGGGCCATAAAAACTTGCCCTCCTGTCCATGGCCTGAGGTCAGGAACAGGGTGAGTTCCCTTGACGCAGGTCAGTAACCATCTGTTGACCTGGTTCTCTGGCATCCTGGCATCTCTGGGCCATGGTGGCACTGCCTTTCCGGGAACGGTTGTGAAGCTGTGCTGACAGTCTCCTTGGGACCGGCAGATCAAGCCATCTCTAAGGGAGGAGGGCGCGAAACCATAGGGTTTCTGTGTGGGCCCCTGGAGCAACCACAGCTGAAGCTTACCATGGCGTGGCAAGAGATTCCCAGGCAGAGATGGGTCCCCTCTGCCCCTCGCCCCAAAACCAGTATGTAGAGCAGGAAAGTGGGTGTGGTGGTGGCAGGTCCCCAAGAGCACTAGGCAGCAGGGTTCACAAGTCTACCCACTACCTGGACAGATAACTTGGGTTTTGTCTTCGCACCCTCAAAAGCCCCCTTTCACGGGTACCATGCCTCACACCTGTAGTCCCAGCTACCAAGAGGGCCACAGCAGGGTTTCTTTAGGCCAGGAGTCTGAGACTAATCTGAGCAACATAGCAAGAACCTCTTAAAGCAAGCAACTCCTTTCCTAGCTCTGGCTCAAAGATGCAGGGCATATGCATCCTTGGGCTGGGCCTGTGGCTCAGCTCGGAGGGTTGGAGTCACCCAGCTCCTCCCTCGTGTCTCACAAGTCACCAGTGTGCTCTAGGCTTTGCACCATGGCAACCTCAACAGGCAAGTGTCCTGAGGCTGGAGCAAAAGGAAGCACGACTGTGCGTCTGTGCATAAGAGGCTGAGTTTTACTCTGGGCCTGCACTCCAGTGGGGTGGGAGCATCCTGAACAGAATGGGTCACTTCATCATTGCTCCCACACTGGTGACCACATCCACGAGCTGGCTCCTGCCTCACATCCCCTTGCAAAAGTCCAGTGCTGTACACCTCAGGGCTGGGTGCAATCCCACCAGTGTCTTTTTATTGGACCTTTCATGGCCAACCTGGATGCCTTGAGCCACTCTCTAGCTCCATTGCCTTTCGGTCCTCTTGACCTCTGTGGAGGGAGAGAATACCAGCTCAGGTACTTTTGTGATTTTGCCACCATTTGGTCCCTGGGCTTTGGGCTCAGGCTGATTCGTTAAGACAAGCCTGTTGCCTCCCTCCTGTCTGTGCCCGGGGAGGATACAGACTCGGGGAAGCTGACTGGCCTGGGAGTTCTAGGCAGTGGGCTCTGGCCTGAGGTTTCCGGCAGCACCTGGCCTTTTGAGGCCCCATCAGATCCTCACAGCACAGCACAACAGGATCCAACCTACAGCTTGGTGTTGAGGTGGAAGAAGTGAGGTGCCGCATAGGTTGTGACGGGTGGCATGTGCCAGGCAGATGAAGCTGGACCCAGTCTGTTGCGGAGGACAGTGTCATAGGACGTGGGAGGGAAATGCATCAGGCTGGCAGCCATGGGTGAGGGGCCTGCTGTAGCCAGGAGATGGGCTGGGAAAGCTGGGATGACCAGGGGACTGAAGGGGAGTGTGGCCTGGCCCTTCAGAGGGTCCGGGCTACCGGTGAAGTTCAGAGGACACCGCAGCATGGTGCCCCTGTAGGCATCTGGAGGAGTGGGACCCAGGGCTGGGCCCAGCAGACAGGATACAGCCAAGCCAGGTGCTGCAGGCTTGCCTCTGCACTCCTTGGCATCCCCCTCCTTCAGGAAGGGAGACACTGCTCTCAGTTTCTTGCCACCATGAGCAAAGCCCTCTTCTTCCAAGCTGCGCTTGTTGCCAAGGCCTGGGCTACTGGGGAGCGGGGGCGGGGCTCCAGGGCTCTCAGCAGGGACCTTGGCCATCGGGGACACCCAGCAGGCTTTGGGTTTGGGGTAGAAACTTCTTTGTCTGGAACTGCCTTTCTGGAACGCGGAGGGGCGGTTGGCATCCCCATCCCACAGCAGCTGGGGCTCTTTGGTCGTCAGCCCTTCCTCTTTCCCAGGCGGTTCCAACAGCACCCTGTCTTTGAGGCCAGAGAAGAAGTCCCTGGGGTGTTGGCCGACAGGCTTCAGCACCTCGGTGGGGTAGGCATGAAAACAGCCTGAGAAAGTGGGGGCTACGGGGCAGGGGCCTTCCTGCACCTCCACCTTGGTGCTGCCACCGGGGGCCTGCAATCCTTCCTGTGGGGTTAGCCGGTGGTGTTCAGAGTTCTCAGCCGGCCCTTTTAGGTTCTGGGGACTTTCCTGACGGTCCCCGCTGGGGCTTCTTGCTCCATGGCAACAGCCCTCTTCACGGCACTGCAAGGCCTCTGCCTTGCTGACCTGGGCCAGGAGTTTCTTTTTGGCCAGTGGGGACATGATACCATGAGCCCCTTTGCAGTAAAAGCTGGACAAGAGCCGCTTGTAGGCCTCAGGGCAGCCACTGGCACCCGCGAATGGCAGAGAGGGCCCAGATGTTGGGCCGAGCTGTTCTGTACTATCCCTTGAGGGTCCCTGGCTGGGAAGCTGTGTCAGGCCAGCGGCATCTGATTTGGTCTTTCCCGGTGTGGTCTGGAATAAGAAAAGGCCTTGTCTTAGAGTTGGGTGCAGGACGGTACATCTAACCTAGAGACCTGGAGGCAGCAGGCCCTCAGAGGACACCCAACAGTGCCCCTTAGCTCTTAGCAACACCTTTGGTCAAAAGTTTTCCAAGACGCCCCGTCCCAAGCAGATGGGGCCTAGTCTCCCAGCAATCCCAGCATAGGGTCCTGTGAGCAGGTGTCAGCCGGTCTTCAGAGGACCCAAAGTTCAGCCAGCTCCTGCCCTAGCAGCAGGTTCCCAGCATGCCAAGCAGGGGTCAGCCGCCCTGGCCAGAACAGGAGTGGGAGCTGTGACAGCCACCTCCCTCTGCTCCGTGCTTACCTGGTCCACGTGCCTCTCTGAGTCCTTGGCCTTCTTTGGCTTCTCAGTGGTCCCGTCATCCCCCCTCAGCTCCTTGGCCATCTTGTATTGCTTCCTGGGCTTGGTAGGGGGCAGTGGCTTGTCATCCTCGCCCTTCAGGTGCCGCACATATGGGAGGACCAGCCTGGGGAAGAGCCAGTGCGTCCATCAGAAGCCTAGCTCTTCACAGCTGGCCTCGGCTTCCTTTAAGCCCCTCTGGCTCCTCACCACCAGAGCGCCTGCTGTCTCCAAAGCTGTCTGCTCCTTCCTGCCAGTGCGCACGCTCGGCCCACCACGGCTCTTCCTCATCCCGCGGAAGATCCCAACCCAACCCTGACAAGGACACGCTTGTGGCACATACACTCTGTCCCCCACACCCCCAACACAAACGGCACATCCGTCTATATACTGTCTTTGCGCCTTACTCCCAGCACACACCCGCTAAGACCCCGGAAGGGGAAGGCCTAGGTGTGCAGCACCCCATGGGTCGGTACCCCATACCTCTCGTAGTGGCGGCGTGTGCATGTGGCCGCACTGGTGCTGCCTGGACTGCCCCCCAGCTCGTCATACACGTTCTTCCAGAGACGGCGGCCCGTCACCTGAAGACAGGATAGGCCAATGGGTAGGTACTCTCTGGCCATGGGACCCTCTCTGCTCCAGTTTCCCCTTGCAGAGAGTGGGGCGAGAGCTGAATTTTGGGGTTCCTTCTCCAGCCATGGGCAGGATTCTGGAGAAGGTTACTAGTGCCCACCAGCTCTCCCTCCCAGGGGCTACCTGACTGCTAGGCAGAGCGGGTTTTGGAGTAGGGGACGGTGGTGTGGGAAGAAAGCTGTTTAGGGATGCAAAGGACCCGGTCCCTCCTCCCACAGCACGCAGGCTGGACCCGGGCTTTCCGATTTTCCTCAAGTCCGCAGGCCAGGAAGCCCTGCTGAGCACCCCCCTGCTCCCGAGCCCCTGCGGGGGTATGGCTGAGGCTGGAGACCAGCAAGGAACTGGAGAGCCCTTCCTTACCAGTTCATAAGCCCCCAGCTTCTCCACGGCCTTGTAAATCTTCCACAGGTTAACTGAAGGAGAGAGGCAAAGACAGACTGTCAGCCCCTGCAACCCACACGCTCCCAGAGGAGACCACCGTTATGGACGGGGCAGGCTGGCCTGATGGTCAAGAGGATGGGAACCCAACTCCACCCCTTGCCTCCAGGGAGGTATCGTTCTTATAGGCAACCCCGGTAAGCGGGAGGCATCCAGGGTCACCTGGAGCAGAGGCGCCTTGCCTGTTGTCCTATCTGGGAAGATCCCGACGGTCCCCCTAAATCTACTCCCCCCCCCCGTACCCCTCCCCTGGAACGCACTCTGCTTGAAGCCAAGATGGGGTACCCTCTCGATGGGCGTGTGCCGCTCCTTCATGAATTTGTAGAGGCTGACCAGGAAGGCCTGTTCCTCCTCCCGCTCCTCGCCTGCCTCAGGAGAGTCCTGGGGAGAGAGCAGGAGGCATGGCTGGGCCCCACTGATGGGCAGCTGGGCACCGGAAACCACACGGCTGTGCAAAGGAATAAGTGCCTAGGTCCCGACCATAGGCTACCTGGGAGCACCCAGCCGCCTGTCCTGGATCACACAAGGGCAGCTATGAGCTTGGGGCCCAGGCTCAGGTCAAGGGCTGGAATCTAGAACTCCAGAGTGCTGACAGACAAGGCCTAGAAGTGGCCACAGGGGCAGCCCTGCATCCTCCAGGCCAGGTATATCTTGCTTTGATCTGTTTTATCCATCTTAGTTCCTGGAAGGCAGGCTTAGTGTCCCTAGAACCCTACAGCAAAAGGCACTCATGCTTCCTGGTACCAGGGGGCCGGCCTCTCTGAGCCAACAGCCTGCAGCTTCCCCTTATCAGCTTGGTGGACAGGTGGGATTATCTTCTCCCCCGCCCCCCCAAGACAGGATTTCCTTGTGTAGTCCTGGCTGTCCTGGAACTCACTCTAGACCAGGCTGGCCTCAAACTCACAGAGACCCACCTGCCTCTGCCTCCCAAGTCCTAGGATTAAAGGCGTGCGCCACCACCTCCTGGTTTGGGAATACTTCTTTTTTAACACCACAGACTCGTGTTTGACGGCTTTGTGATCAGAGTCCAGGTTGTCTGATTTGCAGAGAGTTCTGCTACGAAACTGGGTGAGGTCCCGCCTCGCCTAGCATCCAGATCCTGCATCTTCCAATGCGGGGGGGGCCCCAAACAGCTCTGCAGCGTGAGGCTGAGGCCTGTCTCCCTCTCAGAGCTCAGGGTATCTCAGGTTCCCGGGAGGCTGAGCCCAGCAAGGAAGAGGTCCGGGGATTTGTCCAAACTCACCTCCAGCTGGATGGGGCTCTGGCTCCTACTCTGCTCACCATCGGGCTTGGGGCACACAGGGAGCTCTAGGAGGTCACCCTCTTCTGACTGCTCCCTTTTCTCTTTGGCAGGAGGTGCTGCTGGGAGAGAGGAGCAAATGCGGAGAGGGCAGGTGAGATGCGGGCAGGAGGAACGGGGGCGGGGGCGGGGGGGGGGGCCTGAGGATTGGTCCCCTCACATCAGTCAGAGAAGGGGTGAGTGCTCATAGCCCTTCCAGAGTGCCCTCTGCTGGCCAGTATTGGTACCACACTCGAGCTGTTCCTGTAAACACCACCACCACACACACACACACACACACACACACACACACACACACACACACACACACACGCACACACACGCACACGCACACACGCACACACTCACCCTGCCTCGGCAGCCACTCCCTTTTCTTTCCTCTGTTCTAGCCACACCCCTACATCTCTGCAGGAAACCCTCAGCCTCATCATTACTGTCCAGAATCAAGTCAGAGGGATATGGGTAGGGTGTGTTTCGGGGACAGTCTCTCAAACCTGCCCGTGTTCAGGTAGAAAGCCTTACGGTAAGCAGTTCAGCTGAAGGCTGACAAGGCTTTATTTACGAGTCCCCACACTGCCAATTGCCCCTGTGTAGCAAGGCTCTTAATGGCTGTTCAAATGAGCTATAATCCCTACCTCTGGCTGGCCTTTCCCAGCACCAGCTAACTCCAGCATTGTGAGTCCTTCCATTTTTTTCTTTAAAAATTTTTTTTCTTGGGCCGGGCGGTGGTGGCGCACGCCTTTAATCCCAGCACTCGGGAGGCAGAGCCAGGCGGATCTCTGTGAGTTCGAGGCCAGCCTGGTCTCCAAAGCGAGTTCCAGGAAAGGCGCAAAGCTACACAGAGAAACCCTGTCTCGAAAAACCAAAAAAAAAAAAAAAAAAAAATTTTTTTTCTTAAGATTATTCATTATGTATACTGTATACAGTGTTTTGCCTGCATGTATGCCTGCAGGCCAGAAGAGGGCGCCAGACCCCATTACAGACGGTTGTGAGCCACCATGTGGTTGCTGGGACCTCTGGTAGAGCAGTCTGTGCTCTTAACCTCTGAGCCATCTCTCCAGCCCGTCCTTCTCTTTCTTGTCTGGTAATGACTGGACTGTGCGATTCCCCACACCTTGTGAGGCCTCTCATTCAAGACACGTGCCAGGTAAAGGAGAATGGCCCGCGAGAAGCCGCACGCACGACACTGTTTAGTGAAGCTCTGGCCTGGGCAGCAGGAGGTTGTAAAAGCGTCACAGAGAGGCCACTGCGAAAGTATCAACCCAAACTGCCTCAGGTGATGAGGCAGGCTGGCATCAGATTTGGAACCAAATCTTTTTAATTAATTAATTAATTGAGGCGGTGTGTCTCACTGCGGAGCCCTGGCTGGCCTTAAACATGCAGGAATCCTCCTGCCTCTGCCTCCTGAAGGATAGGGTTCCAGGCACGTGCTACCAGGCCCAACTAAAAGGGAACTTGTTTTGTTCCCATTTTATGAGACGGGGGCTTATGTAGCCCAGACTGCAATCTGCTATGTAGCTGAGAATGGTCTTGAACCCCTGGCCCTTCTGCGTCCATCTCTCTGACGCTGCAATGATAGGATGGGCCAGCACAGCTGGCCTAGACGCTCACCTCTTCTGCTAATCTGTTCCCTTGTGGTTTGGGGGATGGAGTCGAGGGCCTGGTACATTCTACGCAGACATGTTTTTAAATCATTTGGCGGAGGGGCGGTTAGCATACAAAGAAACAGATTTTACTGTGGCGTTTCACACATTTCGTTGTGCTTTATTCAGATCTTCCAGCCCACCAAGCACTTTCCTTGGGTTTTGAAATGGTCTCGCAATGTCGCCCAGACTGGCCTTGAGCCCCGGCCTCTACCTGCAAAGTGATCCCAGGCGTGAGCCATGGCACCCCGCCCCCCCCAGTCCGACAACTTTCCCTTTTCTCTTTGCTAACCCGGTACAATGGGACCAACTCTTGGTTTGCTCCAGCTCCGAGAACCCTTATTGCCGGAAGCTGGGAGATTTTTCCTATCAGCACAGGCAAAGAGGAATCTCCTGGAGGACACTGGTCCCACAGCCACATGACCCAGAGGACCCGGTGTCAGGATGTTCAGCTCCTGGAAAGCCCGCTCTCCCTCCGACAGTTCACACAAGTGCAGCCATTCATGTCTATGTCTGCTCACAGGTACGGGTCCCTGCCTCTGGGTCCCTGGCTCTGCAGGTGCATTCTCTCATTTGGTCCCAGGAGGGACCCCATTTTAAAGACGGGGACACTGAAGCCAGAGATGTCACAAGGCTAAGCATTTCCCTAGGGCACCAGAACTCAAGACAAAATCTGTCTGACCACTGGTTCAATGGCTTGCTGTGATTATGGTCACCATTGGGAAAGTCCTCATGGAGTGTCCAAATAAGCTCACAGAGACGTTCATCTTAACACTTGCCGGGGCCTAAATAGCCTCGGGCACTGTCTTAGACAGCTCCAGACATCAGATTCATGGCCAGTCTCCAGAAATCTCAGGAGCTGACAACTGTACTCCCTTTTCTACCACATTCTCTGAAACTCCATGCCTCAGTCTTTGCTTCTGGGACAGGGGAGGAAAAGGCTCCGAGGGGTCCTTTGCCACCTCTGGGTGAATCTCAAGTCTGATAACCAGAAACAAATCTTGCTCCAGCCCTCCTCCAGCCTGAGGCCTCTTCGCCTTCCAGATGCTCCCTTCCAGATGCTCCCTTCCAGATGCTCCTCAGATCCTGGGCACCGGCCGCAGGGACTCTCCATCTATCCCTTAGTGTGACCTGGGCTTCTTGCTGCTAAAGAATTAGCATGGCCCGGCCCCTGGATCTCAAAAAATAACACAGTTGGACCATGACAACCCCCTGGAAGCTCTTCAAAGACAGATGTTTATGGCCTTGAGTGGGGCTTCATTAGAACGAAAAGCTCCCAGGGATCCCAGCAGGCTGCAGGTGAACAGCCACCAGGAGGTGATCCCTAGCCCCGATGCTCCGTTCAGTTCCGCTATCTGTATGCTCACTCAGGGAAAATCTCCTGGAGTAGGGCACTCAGGTTACCTGGAAAGGAAGTTGCCAATCCAAGCTGTTTGGCCCCAAATGGAAAAGGGATCAGAGCTCCCACCCCTGAGTCACAAAGGGAAATACTTTCTTTATCACTGTGTCCTGAGTCCCCAAATGAACTTGGTGTCCATTCTCTCTTGGCCAGGACACTCTCTCTGTCCCTGGCAGGACCTTCTGGGCCCTGACTTCTGCAGCTTTAGATGAGGAGGCAGGGTACCCTCTGTCCTGTCCCTGGCAGTCTTAACCCCTCATTTCCCCAATCACCTTTAGATATGGGTTCCAGGTAAATCATCTGTAGGAAAGGCTCTGCTATGAAACCCACAACCACAGATTTAGACAGTGCCCCGTGCTGCCTGGCTCCTGAAACTCCTGGTTTAAGCATGAAGTATCAGGCTGGGTCCCACCTCTGGCTCTACAGGGAGTGGGAAGGGTCTGGTGGCACAGGATCACCCTGCCTGTAAGACAGGAGAAACCCACCTTTCCCTATTTGACTGTTGCTACCACTATCCGAGTCTTCATCTACATCAGAGCGTGTGTGTAAGATCCCTTCCGGGCCAGTGCCTCGATGTCCCACTCTTGAGTAGAGAAGAGGACCAATTATTTTAAAAAGACAGCCTGCTTTCCACAATATCATCCAGACGGGAAACAATAATGATAACGGGGATTGATGTTTCCTTGCAGCACATCGAAACTCTCTCCTGGTGTGAGGTGTGACGTGTGACGTGTAGGGTGTGAGGTAGGGGTCTACCCATGTTTTCCTCCGCCGGGCAGGTATGTGCCAAATGCTGGTGGAGTGACCCCCTCCGCAGTGAATGAAATGCTGCTCTCCCTACAGCCTCACACTTGACAGAAGCATGCCTGGGGTCGTGCCTAGACCTTCTATTCTGTTCCTCTCACGGTGGAGTGCTGGCATCCATGTGTGGGTTTTAATTCTGGTAGCTTTATGGAATGACCCTTTCACGGGGGTTGCATATCAGATACCCTGCATATCAGATCTTGACATCACCATTCACAACAGTAGCAAAATCAGTTATGAAGTAACAATGAAAGTAATTTTATGGTTGGAATGGCAGGGCTTCCCTCCACAGCTCCTTGGGGCTCCCTTCTCCACTGTCCATTCAAGAGATCAGGGTGTGATGGTGTCCCTCTCTAGGCATCAGGGAGGTGCAGAAGGGTACAGCAGGAGAGCTGCTTCAGTCCCTCCTGGGTTATGACTGACTTCTGATCAATTCCAAGGACGCGTCTGAGGCAGATCGGCCTCTAAACTACAGCACGAAGCGCCCAGTGTCAGCCTCTGTCTCCAATCAGAGCAAGCTTGCCAAAGTCGGTGTGTCTTCAAGCCACGCCCCATTTCCCTTTCTGCGCTGGCTGCGGCTCCACCAAAGCTAATCTCTGGGCTGCCTGGGGCTGGGCATCTAACACAAGCCTTTACTGAATCTTCCTCCTTTTAACAGATGTCATGCCTGAGGCTCCGAGAGGTTGGACAACTTGCCTCAGGGTCACACACACACCTTTCCAATAGCAAAGCTGAGATTCCAAGCTACAGAATTGCGCCAAGACCCTGAACCCTAAGATCTAGAGCTTTGTGAGTAGGACGGGGAGACCTTCGGCTTTCCCATCTAAGTTCAGAGGGTAGAAACTTAGCCACATTGCCTGAGTGGAGCTGTGTAGCCCCACTTCGCTAATAAGAATAAGTCAGTGTGGACAACCGAGCTAACCAAACCCAGAATAGGAAGGGGCAGAAGAAGCTCTACCATGTGGATCAACGTGCCTGGCCTTGGAATCTCCCAGGGCCCCATCATTGCAATACAGGGTACCACCTTTAAGGAAGGAAAGCCACTAGACACTACTGAGAATCCCGGAAGAAGTGGGACCAGGCTGTCTGGGTAGACAGAGGCTCTGTGTAAAAGCGGGGAGATGAAAATGGTGAGGGACACCCCGTAGAAGAGTCAGAGAGGCAGTGGGATCCGTGAAGAGCTAGCGGGAGGTCCCTGTAAGCCCGCCCCCTCCCCCACCCTGCCAGCCAGTGAGCTGAGATCAGATGGGACTGTGCAGGGTGAAGGAGGAGGAGGGGCTCTCGTACCACACGGATGCCTCTCTGCTTCGTTTATGTGTTTGCTTGGGACAGGGTCTGTCTATGCAGCCCAGGCTGGCCTCGAACATACGGTTCTCTGGATCAGATCTCCCAGTGTTGGGACGGTAGGCATGCACCACCCTGCCGTGCTGGGTGCATCTTTCATCACCGCCATCACTGCTTCGGTAGCTCTGTCCCCTCATCTCTGTAAGGTGGGGGTGCCAGGCTCAACGGCCAGGAGTCTAAGCCGAGGAAAGCAAGAAACGAGGCTTCCCCTAGAAGCTGAAGTTGAAAGTGTGCACACACCCTTGCTGGCTGACACCTGCCTGATCCCACGGCCATCTGACTCTCCCGAGGGTGCTCCCGAAAGACGGACCGAAGTACACGGGATGAACACACTCGGATCTGAGAAACCCTGATGCTCAAGGGAGTGTTCAAGGCCACACACCTCCCAGGAGCTGCCAGGCTCGCTAGGCGTGGGCACCACTTTCCTCCTGTCTCTTTCATTTGCCTACCCCAGTCACCCTCCGTGTGATGGGAAGGAAGTGACACTTCCTTTCATGAAAACTCGCTGACTGGGAACACGACGTCAATTACAACAATAAAGGCACCAGCAACCTCAATAACAACCGGCAGACACGGCCCCACCCCCTTGCCTGAGGTTGTTGGCTTAAGTTTCTCTGAGCTCAAGCTGGAGCGGAAACAAAGGCAGCCTTTGAAGCGGGTCAGTCCACTCCGTGGCCCAGAAGCCGGCTGCCTGGCATTCTCCTTGGGCATGCTCCAGTGGGCAGTTTGGGGATGGGGAGGGGGGGAGGGTCCTGTCAAGAGCCAGCCTTGAGGACAGCTAGCTGGACAGGAGTCTGAGGATCCAGGGCCCAGAACTAGGCACAGCCTATCCTTGGCACCTCTGCCAGGGAAGGGAGAGGTGAGCCCTGTTAGTGGCTAGAGACAAGATGAGAGTCCTGAGAGGTTCATAAAGGCACAGCGGGGGTGTAGTGGCACCAGGTATGAGATTCCAGCCTCTCGGGGCTACCCAGCTCTGGACTAGCCTAAGAGACTCTACTCCTGGAAGGACTGAGTCCCCCATAGTCCCGCCCCTCTGTCCATAGGTTTGGTGAAAACAGAGCCCTATATATGGATCGTTTCCGGTTTTCCCACCCCACCTAGGCAGAAACAAGGCTCAGGGAGGTGACTCAACCGTAGAGGTACAACCCCTACACAGGGTACTTCCCTACCTCACCACGTTTCCATTCTGGTACCCTCACCCCGGCACAGTGCCTGCTACCTTAGTCCAAGAGGGAATGGAGGAGACCATTGCAGATCAGCTTCCCACCTAGGGCAACAGAAGGCCACCAGGGAAGGAGAGAAGGGCAAGGGGTCTTGGAAGCCTGGCCCTCACTCACTATCAGACCTGAGCCCATCTCTATGCCTCAGTTTTTCTGACTGTAATAAAAGGCCAATGGAGGGGTGATTCTAAGGCCCATTCTGCCCCCGTCACTTCAAATTCTAGGCCAAGCAGTTAGTTTGGGCTCCGTAACTGCTGTGGAGACCAGACCCTCTAGCTAACATCACCCACCCTCCCCTGCCCTGGCATCCTGTTTAGGCATTGAGACCCTGAGATGTGCATCAATTCCCAACAGTGCCCACGGGGCGGGGCCAGGAACACCTGTTCCCCTCCTTTGGCTGCTGTGACCCCTCCTCTGAAACAAGACTGCGAACACGGAGATGCAGGCCAGAGCAGTACAACTTGGGATGAATGTGAGGCCTTCCAGGCCCAGGGTTGGCAACCCCACTGCGCCTGTGGGCCGGGGTGTGGAGCGTGACCCCAGCCAGGGTATGACGCCTGGGCAGTGTGGAGGGTCACACATGCGGTGGCATGGTTGTGTCCTAGCTCGAGCTTGAGAGCAAAGCCAAACTTGTTCGTTGCACTCTGGCGGCCTGCCCTTCTACCCTCTCTCCACTAATCACCCCCAGCCCAGGGCCACCACCCTGTCTGTCCCTCTGGAGAGACCCGAGGGAAGAGAGGGAAAGTCAGAGGATCAGGCGAGGAAAAAGAAGCCGTCTTTCCTGCCAGGGGCTGGAAAGAAGAGTAAGAGAGAAAACAAAAAGAAAGGGGAAGAGGAGAGAGAAGAGAAGGAGCGGGGGACCTGAAGCCTGTGGCCGTCAAACCATCAGCACGTCCCTCGGCAGAAAGAGGAACCGTTGATTCTTCAAAGCGCATTGAGCAAGTTCTTCAAAACCCGCGCAGTCACTTTCAGGAATCGCGGCCGCAGTGGGAAGCGCGGCGCGCGCGACCCCGGCGCCTCCGGTTCTGAGAAGCGCTGGGCTGGCACGGGGCAGGGAGGGGCCCGCGGCCGAGAAGCTGCCGCCGCTGCTGACAGCTGTCACAACAAATGGGCCCAGAGCCGCTTGAGATTGAAACCGCAGCAGGAAGTGTGGGCGGCTCAGTGAATTTCAGTCCAGAGCCGGAGAGGAGAGTTTCGAGATAAACGCCTGGGAAGCCCCTAGCCGCCCCGACTTCCCACGAGAAGGGAGCACACAGACACCCGAGTGGCCCCGCGCGGGTCGCGATCGCTCCGGGTCCCCAGCCCTCCGACCCCGGCGCCGCCTGCGAGCCGCTTACCCATGGCCCAGCGAGATCACGCGTCGCCAACCAGAGACCCTCGACGAGCGGAGCCGTCCAGTCCCTGCGCTCTCGGCGCGACTGACTCGCGCTGCGGCTGGACTGCCGCCTCCCCCGAGGTCCCGCCCCTGGACCCGCCCCCCCCCGGCGCTCTGGGCTCCCATTGGTGAATCCTATCTTCTAGGGCGGGGCGGGCTCCGCCCCTTGAGCCCGAGGATGTCTGGAAGTTGTAGTGTGCGCCCACTTTCCAGCGAGGGGCTCATGCAGGACATTAAAGAATCACGGCCGCCCCGGGTTTACCTAGAGGCAAAACTAGAGTCATAGAAAACTGCCCGCTTGGCTGGGCGGTGGTGGCGCATGCCTTTAATCCCAGTACTCGGGAGGCAGAGCCAGGCGGATCTCTGTGAGTTCCAGGAAAGGCGCAAAGCTACACAGAGAAACCCTGTCTCGAAAAACCAAAAAAAAAAAAAAAGAAAAGAAAAGAAAACTGCCCGCTCTCTGCAGCGTGCCAAAGACTGGGTGGGGTTAAACCAAGTGCTTCTGACTTGGACCTGAAGTGGTCCTGGCCAGTTCCATCTTATCCAGCTTTACATAGAGAGGTGAGTACTGTTAACCTACCAGAGGCCAGTCCGTGGCCCAGGCTTAATGTCCTAGGCCTGCCTGTAGTGCCCATGCCCACATATGTCATGTAGAGTGACAGCCACAAGCTGAACTGTGCAAAGAGGAAGTAAGGGAGACGAGGGTGTTAGGTTTATGGTGAGTGGGGACAAGACAAGGCAGAGCAGTCAGTTGGACCTGTGTGGGTTATAGAAGATGAAGCTGAGACTCGAGATTTAAAAACAGAAGCCTCAGCTGCTGAAAAGCTTGGACTTGAACTCTGTTCCTAGTATGTAGTTGGTATCCCCAGAATCAAATTCTGTTCGTTAATTATAATACTCATACAGCTCTGTGCATTTCACACTATCATTCTCCTCATTTTATAGAGCAAAACAGGCCTGGGAGATTCATTAGCTCATAGAGCTGGTAAATGGTGGGGCTTAGAGCTCAACCCCGGAATAAGGGCACAGATGAGGAGGGCTCCAACATTTCAGTGCTCCCCTTCACACGAAACAAATGGACCAGGCTGCATTTGGTGAGTCTGACCCTCAGGCCCTTACCCATGGGCTCTGGAGTTGCAGATCTGCAAGCTCAGCCTGGGGCAGGCAACACTAGGCTTGGCGGGATAATTGTAACAGCCAGAGCTTGCAGATCTGGTAACAGACACATTGTTGTCAATATTTATTAACTGCTCAGAATAACCACCAGAATAATGACTGCAACAGTACCTCCTACATCCAAGATTACAAGCCACACTCCGCCTCGAGAGATCTGAGACTGGCAGAGATGCTATCTGCCAAGAGGTACCACCTGGAAACGTCACACAGGCTTCTAGTTCCACCTGCAGCCATTGGGTAAGGATTGATTGGACCGGCCACAATGCCAGGCTAGGTATAGAGATCTGGATACGGCCTTCAGTGTCACAGGAGTGACAGTGTCACAGGCCATCTGCTACCTCCTTGACTGGATACTTGCATCAATGAGGCACTCACTACCTCACAAAACCACAGCTAATCCTACCTCTGGAGAGAGGGACCCTGCCATCCAGGCAGAAGAGCATACTCTTAGACAGGACTGTTTGTGCAAAGGCTCAGCAAGTCAACACCTGTCTGGGGCAACCTGAGAACAATATGATCTAAATTTAATTGTCTCCTGAGGCAACTGTTTGCAACTAAAAGTAATCTACAACAGCTAATAAATCATGCTGAGGAATGATACCTCCATTTGCTTTCCTGAAAGCATAAACACCCCTGTTGCTCAAGCTTCCTTTTACATGCCTCTCCCCCAGCCTCTCCCCCCCAGCCACGCCTCTCCCCCTGCTCAAGGCCGCCTTCCTCCATCACCCACCTTCTACAGAGTAGCAGCCCTGGAGAGTGTGAGCTGTTACTAGCCCCTCTGTATCTTGTCTCTCTGCCAGCCTCCAGAAGAAAAACAAAACACCACTAATGTGTAAACACATTCTTTCCGGAAAAAGCATTGAGAATAAATCAGTCCTCTCTGGCCCTGCCCCAAATCCAGTTCCCTCCCTCTCCTTATCAGATTGGATAGTCTTTCAGAATGTTCCCTACTTATTTTCATAAATACCTGTATCCATGGTATGGTAAAACACGTAACTTTGTTTAATGTGTGTTTTTAGCTGATACAATTCTGATTGTTTTTGTCATAGAGATGTCTACAGTTAAAACACAGGTCATTTCTCCATTAGCATCAGCTACTGTCTGTGCCTTATGTGATCTCTCAATAGTCTCCCCCACAACCCCCCCCAATCTTGCTGAGAGAATTCTAGCTCTCTTAGAGCACTTCTGGGGAGAGCCTGGGCTAAGCCTACCTTCTATCACCTCACATTGGTCCATCTCCGGGGACCTGACCTTGGGGGCGGGTCTCATCCTTTAGCTTTCAGGCCTGGAGAGGGTAAGCAAGTTGCTGGAAATCACACAGGAAAGTCGGTGCCACGCTTCATCGGAGACCTTCAAAGCGGTTCAGTGTGCTCAGAAAACAGGACAAGCAGCCTGTCTTCCCCACTGTTTCTGCTCTGTTCCCAGGCTCAGCAGTTGCAAAATGCCCCCTGGGGCCTTGTTTTCAAAGGGGAATGAAGTGGGGGAGTATTTTTAACTGTTGGCCCTGCTTTGCTCCCCCCACCCCCCACCCCACACCCCATGCTAGCTGTCCAGGAAAGGCTTGCTTCACAGTGGCATTTGCAACTCATGGAAAACAACAAAGGCTCGAAATAGACCAGGCCCAAGCCCGGGAATGGAAAAAATGGGCTCATTGGTTTCAAATGCGTATTTTAGAAAGAGACAAGAATAGCTTTTGGCCTTTGGGGATGGGCTGGGGATGAGGGACTGGGAAGGTGGCAGTGTTGGGATAGGGTTGAGTCCCAGATCACCAAGGGACAATTTCCTAGGAGAAGAGAGAGGTATGGTCACTGTCCCCAGGGTGCTTAAAAGCTGGTGCTCCAATCTCCCTCTGCACCTCCCTGCTGAATCTGGAACAGCTTCCTGTGTTTCTTTAGGGCTGGCTTCCGGGTAGGGGGCTCTATAGCCCTCCCCCCACCCAACGGAAACCCAAGATGCTAAACTGCCTGCACCTGAAAGGTGCCAGTTGAATCCTCCTGGGGTAGGGAAGAATTTGGGGTTTTCATCTGCACTCATACACAGCCCAGATGTACAACCTTGTGCAAGTTGTTCGGCCTCACAGAGCCACAGGTGCCTTATCAGGGAGGGTGGGGATGTTGCTGTGCAATGCATCCATCCATCCATCCATCCATCCATCCATCCATCCAAACAATCAACCAACATGTGTCATGTAGTCCTTCTGTGCCCTGGCACCAAGTTAGACACAGTCATAGCCACTAACAGACAGCCAGGTGCCAAAGCCTGGACTAGCAGGGGTGCTGAAGAATCAGCACCATATTATCTCCATCAGACCCCCCACCCCCACCCCTGTGTCTTACCCGACATGTCACCTGACCTGATCCCTATGAACTAGGCACTGTATTTGTCCCCAGAATACTCTTGGGACATCGAGGAACGGAGGACAGGTGCTGTACAAGTCCGTGGGCGTAGACACAATCTGGAAGGAGTAAGGAAAGGTTGACTGTGCGCCAGAGATCCTAGGAACAGGGCAACCAGACCTTGGTTGCTTGTGTCATAGTTTGTCACACAGTGGTAAATCTAGACCGGGAGTCAGTACAAAATGCATTGGAGAAAGATTTCAGGTCGGTGTACCACTTTTACTTAAGATCTCAGAGGGCCCGTCAATCCTGTTCGAATGTTCTTGACTGTTCCTCCCATTTGACAGATGGATAGATTGAAACATGTCTCACTTAAGTGACTTCTGCTCCCATCTAACCCTGCCCATTGCTGGGCAGCACATAGGGATGGGAAGCAATGGGGGTGCGCCCCGAGTCAGGAGAGAACTGCATCTCCCAGGATGCCTTGCTAGAGGGGGGTGTGTAGGGGCGGAGTCGCCGCTCACACTGTAATTTCTTGGCATTGGGAGGGAAAGCGGGGGGGGGGGGGGGGGAGAGTTGCGGAGGGGGGCAAAAGTAAAGAGAGAGAGAATCAAAGCCTCCAGCGTCACGTCTAGGAATAGCCTCGGAGCTGGGCCAAGTCATTATCGACGATGAGTAATCCGGTTAAGTCATTTCTCTAAACAACCATTCCTTGTAAGAGAATTAAAATATCAGCTTACATCAGAATGGGAGAGGCGGGCTCCGGGCCCGGGCAGCCGCGCTAGGAGCGGGAGCGGCTGGCGGGCTCCGCGCTCGGCTTGCCCGGGCATGGGAGCGGAGCGGAGCTGAGCCGCGTGCCTGGGCGCTGCCAGCCCAGGCTGGGCTCCGGCCGGGCAGGAACCAGCGAATGGGGGGCGGGGAGGAGGGCAGCCAGCCAGGCCTCAGTTTATCCTGCTGGTAAGGGCCTCAGGGAAAGTTTGGCCGCCCTGCGATGGGACGGAGCTGGGTTCGTTCATCAGTGCTTCGCTGCTCCAGCCCGGGATTCTAGAATTGATGTCTGGAGAGCTTCAGGGGCAAGTTCACAGTGAAGGGCTAGAGAACGAGAAAGGTCTCCCTCTAAACTTTCTGTCGTGTGGTTGTGGCCTTAGTTTTCATCTTTACGCTCCCCGCTTTCTTTCTAGTGGCTTCTGGGCCCTACCCGCCGTGTGTTAAGCAGTCTAGGGCCACAACTAGGCTTGTGAGAGGTGAGGACCCTCAGAACCATGATGACCCGGGGAGTGCGGGTGATCCAGAAGCAGTACCCCCTTCCCGCCCCCCCCCCCAATTTCGTAGCCGCTAACCGCCAATTGTGTCACAGCAAGGCACAGGTCTGGTCTCACCTCCCAATGGTCCTAACCCTAATCCTTGGCACACAAGGTCCCTGACACACCCAGAGACTTCTTTGGCTTCTAGTTCCAGGTAATACTCGAGGCTAGAAAGACTAGCCCAGTCCTAAATTCCTTTTAATAATTTAGTTCGGCCGGGCGGTGGTGGCGCACGCCTTTAATCCCAGCACTCG